TTCATAAAATAATGATTGCGTAAATTATACATGGGTCATAATTTACTATACGTATAATGGATCATAATTCAAATTATTTATCTGTAATTAACATATTATATATTTTTAATTACAATATTTCAAGTTTAATTTTTTTTAAAGAGAATCGTGTATTTTGTGATGTAGTTATGATTATAAAGCGAATTTTGTGAAAAGCCTGTTTCTAGCAAGGCTGAGTGCTTTTCAGGTCGTTATATCATGGACCGCGGTGCACGTGCATCGCGGTCAAAACGGCGCCGTTTCTTTAAGTAAAGAAATGACGTGCCGTTAGTGTTAACGGAGCGCGAGTTTTTTTTTTATGTTAATTACCAACTGACACTACAGTGTATCTAAACCGATACTGCCTCACGTGTTATTTATATTATTAAATGAAACCCCAGTTATATCAAAATGATACTGTAGTTGTAGCAAAATGAAACTGCAGTGTATATAAAATCTATATCTATATATATATAAAAATAAAATCCTCCTAATCAAGTTTTCCCCCCAAAACTTAGGGGCATTTTTGTAACATCATCCAATTTATATATATATAATATAGATAGATAATATAGATGGCATATTTACCATATACGAATTTATTATATATATAATATAGATAATATAGATTGCATATTTATATATGCATATTTCGTACAGGGTATTCAATAGTAAGAGGTAAATGTGCATGGTAAGAGGTAAATTTATATGCATATTTCTGAAGTTTATTTAATAAAATTAGAAAATAAAAAAGGATACTTAATTCAATGAAAATGAAAAAGAAAAATGAAAGATTGTTCAAAAAAAAATCTATATCTATATATATATAAAAATAAAATCCTCCTAGCCAAATAAATTATTATACTTTCCTTTTGAATTACTATTTTCCACCTATAAATAAAAATTTATAGACTTTGGCATTCATTCATCTTCCCTCACACTACCGATTCTTCATGATTTTCAATATATTTCTACGTCTTCTTCAATTCTAGCAAAACTCATTCACTTAATCTCTACTTCAGGTAATGGTTTCTACTCTCCAAATTCTTTTGTTTAAATCTAAGTTTGTTGAGATTGATGGTGAATAATATGCTTCGGTTATTATTATTATTGGATTTATTTGATTCACAGATTTTTTATCAAGGTGGTTAGGATGCTATTAAGGTTGATAGAAAGTTTGCCTTCGAGGGTAAGATTTTATGTTCACCAAAATTATTATTTTCTCCGAGTATTGTATGTATTGATATTATATGTGATATTATATGCTATATGTTATTCATGTGAACACAGGTACATTTATCGCTAAATGGTAATATTGTGAGTGGTGGTTCTTGAAATATTGAGAATGAGTTTCGATTTGTCGAACTCATGCGTTATGTAAATACTTGGCTTGAAATTTTTCGTGTTGTATACATAGTAGTATTGTGAAATTGTATTAATACTGGATTATCGACTATAATTATATTTTGGACAAATCATGTGGAGAAAATTGTATTTTGGAGAAATTAAAATTGTAAATTTTTTTTTGAAAATTGTATTTGAAGAAAATTATATGTTCTGGAGAAAATTGTATTTTTGTGGAGAAAATATTTATTTGTGGATAAATAATGAAATTTTGAGAAAATAATATATTGTGTGGTGTTCAGTAAGAGTGAGTACTGTTTACTTGACTATTTACTACTCATTAGGCTTTGAATGTATCACATAAGTTATGATTCAGTTTTCAAATTGTTTGAGGGTAGTAGGTAGGATAACCTGACTATGGATCATATATTACCCATTGGCTTGGAATCCTATAGGGGGTGTGTACATAGATTTTAGTCCAGTTTCAAAGTGGATTTCAAAAGGTTTGGTTACTTCTCCATAAATAACTATTAATTCTCCATACAAGAAAATGTATAACTCCACATGCATTTTGGAAAAGTATGAATTTATATGAGTTTTGAAAATATAAAAATCCAAGCCATTATTTTACGGGGTGGAGTGGAACTTACTTAGCTTATGCTAATTTTTGTGTTACATTCTGTTTTTGTGTAAAATTATTTATACAGGTGAACATGGATAGGAATTCGGGATGAATTCAAGTTGAGAAGGAATAAAGTTTAATTATTTGTTATTTTGAGGAAAATGTTGTATAGTAATTTCAGTTTTATGTACTAAGTTGATTTTGAGATATTATTTGATGTTGTAAATTTAGCATAATTACCATAAATAATGTTTAATAATTGACAAATTCGATTAGACAATAAAAATTATCATTATAAAATCTTTTGTACTATGGACACACTATTTTTAATTATTTTGGTTTAATAATATTATATCTTATTTATAAAAATTCAAAGTAATATTTTTAGTACTATTGAATATTGATTGACTAAAAATAATCTTAATTATTATTAAGACAATTAATAGGTCTTTAGATTTAAAAAGTCTTCAAATAAATGAATTATACATAGTAGCATAGAATCAATTAGTAGGACAATTATATTAAGTAATCTAATTAAAAATTTATTTTTTAAATTATATCTCCTTTTTCTTAATGTGGATCTATATATTTTAAATAATTTTGATTTAATAATATTATACCTTAATTATAAACAAAATCTTCCTATTTTATTTTTTCCACTCAAACGTTTGTAGTTAATTAATTAAATATTCTATTGGTAATACTATGTACAAAAAAATATTAATTAAGTAATAACAAAATAGCATAATTAGTAATAATATGTATGGTATTTTATAATATAATTGGTAATATAATTAATTGGTAATAAACATATTCAGTAAACTACACGAATAACCATATTGATTTTATATTTATAATTTTAAATTTATGTCTTTTGTTTAAATTGAAAGATTTAATGGGTTTACATTCCTTTGAATATTCATTTTTTTTTTTATTTGTTTACCCACACCTGCATGTCCATAGGTGAAATTATAGTATTTAAAATAATATTACAAAAATAATTATTAGCTGACAATAAAAACGGCACAGAATTTAGGCCAATTGAAATAAAAAATGACTATTAATAATTAACTGAAAAGTAAAATTTTTTTGAAATTGACTCAAATGCACAAAATGAAATGAATATTAATAATTGATTAAAAAATAAAAATGAAATGAATATTAATAAATTACTGAAAATATAATTTTTTTTTTATGGAAACTAGGCCAATTGGAAAAGGAAATGAATATTAATAAATTACTAAAAATATAAAAATTACTGATATAAAATGCATTAATAAAAATGTAAAATGAAGTTTGCATCTCAATGTATAACCGAGATGGAAAGAAATATTTATATCGGTTATATATTTTATAAAATGTAAAGTTAGTGGAAATATAAAAACAATGTTATTAATAATTAACTAATTAATTAATATGTATTAAAAAAATAATTGATTGAGAATAAAAATGACATAAAATTTATGCGAATTGAAATAGGAAATGACTATTAATAATTGACTGGAAATGAAAAATACTTCCAAAATGACTTAGTATATAGAAAGAATATTAATCTCGGTTATATATTTTATAAAATATAAAGTTACTGGAAATATATAAAAAAAATCTGTATATATATGTTACTGAAATAAAGTTATGTAAAGATATATATTTAAAAATTGAAAATGAAATAGAATCATTCAGTATTCACAATTTGTAAGGAAATTTTGTAATTAAAGATGGAAAATGTTTTGCAATACGATATGGAAATATAAGGTTTACCCGAGATGGAAAGAATATTAATCGATATGAAAATTAAAATTTTTTACACAAAATGTTATTTTATACTAAGAATATAAGGATTGCGCAATTATAAGGTTTAGCCGAGTATGTCAAAAAACAAAAAGTTTAGCCGAGATGAAAAAATATTAATCTCGATTATATATTTTATAAAATGTAAAGTTAGTAGAAATATTATAAAATGTTTGTATATATGTTACTGGAAATATAGTTTTGTAAAGATATATATATATATATATATATATATATATATATATATATATATTTACAAATGGAAAATTGAATAGAATCGTTTAGTATTCATAATTTATAAGAAAAATTGTGTAATTAAAGATGGAAATGTTCTTGCAATACGTATGAATGATTTAAAAGAAATTAATTATGACTGATTTTGTAGCAAATCTTTATTCAAAATTACAGGACCTCATTACAATACGCATATATAAAGATGTAAAATTATGTATAGAATGTGTAAGGAAGATTTTGCTTAAAGATGGAAAACAAATTAGACGAATTGGGAAAGGTAATGAATATTAATAATTCACTCAAAATTAAATATGATCCCCATATATAATTCACTGAACACTGATATTTAAAATATCTAAAGTTTCAGCACTTAATGCGTACATCTACACATTGACTATTAATTTTGGCCAATTATTTGATCGAATTCAAGCAATTATAACATTAGAAAATACAATCGATCCAACTCAATTTATCAATTACATTATATAATATTCGATATAATAATTTATATAATTATAGATCGATTCAAATATTCTTAAAATATTTTAACAAATTCATTCCGTGCATCGCACGGGGGCAAATACTAGTGAAATTGAATAACATTTCATATATATTTGAGTGTATATTGTACAATGAAGTTGTAATAATATCAAAATGATCATGTAGTTGTGTTTTAATAAAACTATAGTGTATATAAAATAAAATTAAATAACATTTTCACATATTTGAGTCTATAAATATCGAATGAAACTGTAATTGTGTTAAACTGAAACGATAGTGTATACAAAATGAAATTGAATAACAGAGTTACTATTTGCGGAAGGGTGCGAAACGGCGCAAACAGATGTTTTTTTTTTCATTAAACAAAATAACGTCGTTTTTATTCGCAGTGCATAATCGATTATGCACCGCGGTGCACGATATAATTTGCCGTGCTTTCCCTTAAATAAGAGGTATGAGGATTGGCAGGGAAGAACGACGTCGTTCCTTTTCCATTGGAAAGCCCTATCCAAACCAAATGCTGTTACGCAGGCCGTTAAAACTGTAGATAATTCCCGCGGTTGCGCATCCCAGTTTTCTCCCGCCATCGCCGTTTGTAACTTAGATTCAGAAAGGGGGGAAATTTCAGCATCTATTGATGATAACAATGGCTTCTCGATTATTCTCAACGCCTTCAGTTAGTTTCTGGGAGTATAATTCTTTTCGGGTTTTGACAAAAAATTGTGTTAGCAGTACAGTAAGAATCGGAGGATTATCGTCTGCTCCGACCTTGAATTCTCGGATCGCATGCGCTCGGAGAAATGTACGTCGACGGTCCTCGATTTCCGGCGCGGAGAGCAGTGGGGAAGAAGATTCAGATGATTCAATTGAAGCCCTTAGGGTTCCAATCCATTGGTTGGAACCTTCTAAAGCCTTAGAGGTTGTTGCATTTCTTCCCCTTTTCAATTTAATCTTAAATTTGTCGAAATTCTTAGTTGTTTCTGCTTCAATTTGGAATAAGACCGGTAAATAGTTTGTTCCCAATTCCCATTTGAATGAGCAGAGCATCAGTTATGTTGATGAACACTTGGTAAATATATCAAAATTGGTAACAGCTCTCTGCTCAGATGAAAGAAGCATAAAAGAGAATAAGAAAGTCTTAGAACTGCATATTTACTTATTTAGTGAGGTTAACAGGCAGTTAAAGAGAATAATTGGCTATTTTTTTAAAAGGGTAAATAGTGTTGAATAAGTGAACATAGTGATGGAGTTTATCATGTACAATACTATCTAATCTAATATAATTGTATTGCATATTATAACACCTTAGAGTATAAACTTCATACAGACCACATGGCATAAGACATAATACAAGTGAAATGGCACTTAGGAGAAAACAAATGGATAGTTGTCTTTTCATTGTTATCATTGCAATAGTTGCATTCTGACTTCAAGCAGGAAAAACTTTGGAATTTGGGTTTAAGAGCAGAGGGCTAGACTGATCTAGCAAGATTATGAAAGTTTGGAACCTTTGGAGGTTGGGTGGCGGTATATGGCTGGGCCCAATTACTCATGACAACTTAGCTGAACACTTTCTAATATGAGTGCAGGAGTCGGAATGGCTGAGAGTTGCTCTCAAGAAGTGGTTGGATGATGAATACTGTCCTGAGGACACCAATGTGGAAATTAGCAAGGTTGCTTCAAGTTCATTTTATAGATCATTAATGGAGAAACAGATTGACATTGGTGAGATATTGTTAACTATGGCTAGAGATTTGGAATCTATATCCTATCAAGAAAGCTTTCACGGAGCATTTTCATCAGCAAATGCAGCAGTAAATCTCATACTCCAACGAGTGGAGCAGGAGTAGTTGCTTTATTGCAATTTAAGGTTGGTTCCCTTTGTTAGCTACTAAATCTTCTTCTAGTCACTTTCCAAGAATTGCCTTCTTATTGTCATTGTTTCCCTAGGACTAAGGTTGGTTATCCAATGAAAACTCAACTAATTTGAGTTATTGGGGTTTTTTGTTTTTTCTGGGCAACTTGAAAGTTACTGCTTTGCAATAACTTTTTTCAGTTGCTTCCCCTAAAGTTGTCATTTTACATTTTTTTTTAATGTTCATTTGGCCAATGCGAGGACTTTGTTTCATGGGCTCTTGACATTTGAAAGGGCTGTACATGTGTTTGAGTGTTTCCAGTAATTTCAGGCTCAAATATCAAGAATTATTGTATTAGTAACACTTTTACTATGTTATATTGCATTCAGATTGAAATATTCTTGACTCAATTAACTCAATTATGAACTCTCACCCACATAATTTGATAGGATCAAGAGGTTTTGTTTGGAGAGATTGGCTTGGCACGGATTTGACCTGCTTTAAGGGGATTCTTTTCAGGATTGGTTGAGGTTCCTGGTGATCTTAAGGATGTAATTAGCAATGAATATTTGTAGTGATTTGTCTGTAAAACGTTGGAAGTATCTGACATGTGTTTCATGTATTGAATAAAAAGATGTCATAACCAGTTGAACTCATCAATGCTCTTTTTAGGTGTCGGCACATGTTTGGATGCAACAATGCATACTTTGATATTAACAGTTAAAACCATCATTTTATGTCAATTGTGATTATTATTTTAGATTAATGTGGTCCATAGTCCATTAGAATTAATTAATGGAATGAATATAAATCTACTTGATCTTCTGTAATCTGTATTCATGATAGTGTGGTTTGGAGTTTAGTGAAGTAGTGGGGTAAGCCCCTTTCCTTGCATTTATTTTGGATTTGACCTGTCCCCATTAATGTATTGGAGAATAAAATAAAAAGATTGAATGCATAATTGCAGCCTGAAGTATCATTGCTTGGCCACATGGCTTGATTTGTGAGTTGTCCATGATTCACAAATCACAATTTTTGAAACGTGCCTATTATTGCCCAGGAGATGGGAAGTGAGAGCCATGAATAGTTGCATGTAGGCCATGCAGAAACTGTTACATCAAGACAGACTAAGCTCCCATGGTCCTGCATCAGAAACTCGGCACTATGATTCATGGGTTGATATAGATGAACCTGACCTAGTTTTGCATTTGTATTAATATTCCAATCTTCTCTTTTTTCCGAAAGGATAGGACTATAGGAGCCATCATTTTTTACTCTACATATTGATTTCCTTGGGATTTATCATGACTCCTTGCCACCTCTTTTACTTTGAGGATGAATGGGGAGTGTTTCTGGTATGAATGTGACTGTTTTTACTTTGTAGTGTTTACTTATGGTTCACATCCAATGCAGATCTTCAATGGATCTGTTAAGATGATTTATCTTTGAAAATTCTACCAAGTCCCACATCAAGGCCCACCTGGAATCTTCATAATGGTTCAGGTATCAATACTTCACCTCTTTATTGATTATTGTTGTTGAATTATTATGAACCGATGGCCACTACCTATTGAATGCATGAAACCTGAATCAGGAATTAATGTGGAAAAACAATTTATAAGTGAGAATGCGAGATGGAGACCAGGAATTAATGTGGAAAAAGATGTATAAGTGAACATGTGAGATGGAGAATTAATGCTTTTCATCTACCAATGAATATGAAGGTTATTTTCCTTCTGACATGTTTTCAAAAATAGAATTGTAGTATGCCTTTCTGTACTTTTATTAAGCACATTTTAGCCACATTATAATGTTGTAATCCATATTTCTTAAGCAGGCAATTACAATTTACAAAAGATGAAACTGGGAGTTATTTATTTATTTTTCTGGGGAACTTCTAGATTTAATCATTTTGATTTATGAATCAAGATTTCTCTAACGTGAACTGTTGCAGTGCTGGGAACAAAATCTTGTTTAGAGCATTAGTTTTAGTACGAGTGTGCTGTTAGGTGTAGCTGACATGATTAGGGTGGCCCCCATCATTTATCACTCAATAATGATATTCCATGAGTTAGAGTTTGCAAAATCAGACTGCATGACTGTACCCCAAATTATATGTTATTCTCTTCATGTTACAGTGTCACTCCCAATTACAAGAACAGTGGTTTTTTTCATGTGAAAAGAAAAAATTGACTCCTTGCCTACCAATAATTGAGGAGTTTTTTGGTTAGGAAAATTGTATCAGATTTTTAATTATGTATGATTGTAATTCTTATCTTAGATAGATTGGACTATGTCACTCAATTGGGCTATAATGCACATGAGTCAAACTACACTAAAAGACTGAATCCAACTAATTAGCTAATTTAACACATGACTTTATAGACTCATATGTTTTATCTTATTTTATTATATTAATGTAGTACTTTAACACTCCCTCTCAATTGGATAACCGGGCCATTTTGGTGGACGCCATCAAAGTTGACCGAACAACCGGGTGAACACAAAGTGGACCTAATATGCTTTGATACCATGTTATAAACTAAGATTGAGCTAGTGTCACTCAATTGGCTATAATGCACATGAGCTAAATCACACTAAAAGATTGAATCTAACCAATTAACTATCTAACTCATGACTTTATAAACACATATGTTCTCTCTTCAATCCTTATACCATGGACCAGGGTTCATAGTGCATTATGGACCTTGGTGCATTTGTATGTGTCTTATGTGAGTTATGTCATGAGTTTGTGTGTTTTATGTTACGAAATTATATACAACAAATTAGCATTGTGTCTTATGTTATGAATTCAGAATTTATATGTCTTATGTTGTGAAATTCTGTGCCTATGAACACAAATTATGTACCTAAATCAAAATTGAAAAATAAGTAAATATATAACATATATATGTGTTTTGTGTTGTGATTTTTTTTGTCTTGTGTTATGAGATTCTGTATTTTACGAGTATGAATTATGTACCTCGTCGTTTCGATTCAGGGTCCATAATTCTATGTGGACCTTGGTCCATGATATAAATTGTCTTCTATCTTATTTTATCGATGTGAGACTATGATCCACTACGGAAGGTGACCCTGGTCCACGATGGAAGCAACATAAATGGCCTGCATTTACTAAAGAAATATATTACTGGTATCTTGCTGAAACAATACACATAGAGTTTGTATATATTGTATACATTTAAAAAAGTTAAAAGTAACAAATCAGAGTGGCGCAGCGGAAGTGTGGTGGGCCCATAACCCACAGGTCCCAAGATCGAAACTTGGCTCTGATATTCTTTTAACACTGGCGACATTAGCATAATTTGTTGAAGCAGCCTCTCAAATGAAAGGCTCCTTGTTGTGCAAACAATAACCAAAATGTACAGCTCAAGTGCCTGAATGATTGTGCGAGATCATATTATTGAGTTTAATCACATTTTTGTTAGGCAGTCTTGTTAACAGTTTGCTGTGGTCATAAATTTTAAATTCCTTGCGATTTTCACTGGGTGCAGTATTATATAAAATTGTCACTGTCAGTTCGTACTTATATAAGCAAGCATGGCTGATTCTCTCATAGCTTAAGCAGTATAATCCAACCCTCCCTCCCAGAGTAGTCCCCCACCCCACCCCACCCCACTCCCCCTCACGCCTCACCTCTTGTTTATCTCAGTTATCTCTTTGCAGTAGCTTAATTTGGTGCCATGGGTTTCAAGAGTGACCTGTTGGTTTACACAACATTGGAATGTGAAACCAAAGAGGAGATGCTTTCTTCCATGAACAAAGCAAAGGAAGAAGGAGCAGATCTTGTTGAGGTTTGCGTTGACTGTTTGTCCTCCTCCCACCTTTCAGAGGTTGAACACCTCCTCAGACACAGAACTTTGCCCTCAATCATCTGTTGCAGGTACTATATATTCTCTCTTCTTTCTTTAGTTTCTGTTGCTTAATGGAGAGAAATAACATGCAGTGAGCTAAATTGGGGATTAAAGCTTAGTTTAGCTTGTTCCTCATCACATTATCTCTTCAATTCAACAATCCATAGCTAGAATCATGAATTGCTTGCTTGCATGTTTTCTGGGAATTACCCACAATGCCACCCCTTCACTGCCCCTGTTTCTTGAATCTCCGGTGGCCTATGCAGTTTCAGTGTCCCTGTTTCTTGAATCTCCGGCGGATTGATTCAAGTTAGACTGCATGAGATGTGTGATATTGTGAGGATGATAGTCTTGGGTGAATCTCCCTCACACTTTTTTGTTGGTGGCATATTTTGGCTGTCCTGCATTTTGATTGACTTGTCGTTGTCTCTTTCACGATTCACAACACGTGACGCTGATTAAGGTGGTAGGTATAGCATATCAGCCTCGTGGGTCTGGGGTAGGAGCAATAAGTGAGCACCTCACAGGAGTCACAGCCAAGAATCCCCAATCCCACCTTTTTCTTTTTTAAAACAAAACCTTATCTTTGATTATTAAACTAATTTTATACAATAATTTTATAACACCTGTCTTGTTAGGGAATATATAATATATATATATATATATATATATATATATATATATATATATATATGACTTAAAACCCCTTAATCTTACTAATAAGTATACTAATCATAACCCAACCCAACAACCCCGGATAGTCGCTTTCGAGTTAGGCCTTCTCCATTCTCGAGGTACAGATCAACTGATTAATAAGAGAAATTTAGATTTGGTCCTATTGTGAATAAAATTTTAAATCATTGACTCGTGATGTATCTCATTTATCAAATTTTAAGGCAGTTGAGGTTGAAACTTATAAAAAGTGATATAAATAGTACAAATAGGTGATGGGGCCCACAAACTAGGAAGCAAAGTTCAATTGAACTTTTGAAAAGAAATACAAAAAAGAAAATTGTGTAGCCACCTTTATAGTTCAGTCTGAGAATTGCAAACTAATTTATTGAGGCAACACACATGTGCGTTTTGATTAGGTACATATAATAAGACAACCTGCCCAGTTGTGTCGGAATAGAGTATTTGACGACTGTCGGTCATGGGGTTTCTAAATGACAAATTATTCTTTGACCTGGGTCTAAAAATACACAATTTATATACTAAATGAGTAAATGTTCACAATTCAAGTGGTGTATTTTGGACCTAGGTCCACCTTGCAAGGTGAATCCGGGTCCATGTTTTTAAATCATACGCAAATTATGTCGTGAAAACGTATTTACCATGCGCATGGTGAACACATGGGTAGATCCATAATTTCTATGCCGTAGATTCATAATTTTGTTTTTCATTTGTTGTTAATGACGTTTCTCTCTTCGCAATCGCATTATTTCGTCTTCACAGTACAGATATTATGAATCTACCGTAAAAAATTATGAATCTATCACGTGTTGCATGGTGAACACGGTTCTACAGCATAACTATTGTAAATTGCAAATTATGCCCTGGACCCGTGTCCACATTGAATTGTGGACACGAGCCCAAAACGACGTCGTTTTAAAAAAAAAAAAAACGCGTCATTTAGTTATAAAAAAAAAAAAAAAATTGCACGCGTTTTGCCGTTAACGGCGTTTTTTTTTTTTTTTTGGATTATGAATGTACAGTTATGCCGTTATGAATGTACAGTTATGCCGTTATGAATATACAGTTATGCAATTATGAAATTATGAACACAGAGCTCTAACATTATGAACTTACAATTATGAACATATATAGTGATAAAATTATGACCATGGAGCTTTAAAATTGTGAATATAGAGCTTCGAAGATTATGAATATACAGTTATGGAGTTATGAATCTACAGTTATGAGATTATGAATCTACAGTATGGAATTATGAATCTACAGTTATTGATCAAATTATGAATAAAGAGCTCTAACATTATGAACTTACAATTAAGAACATATAGTGATAAAATTATGAACATAGAGCTCTAAAATTGTGAACATAGAGCTTTGAAAATTATGAATGTACAATTATGGAGTTATGAATGTACAGTTATGGAGTTATGAATGTACAGTTATAGAGTTATGAACGTACAGTTATGGAGTTATGAATGTATAGTTATTAACATATAGTAATAAAATTATGAACATATACTCTTACAATGAAGCGGTCTGAAATTAAAAAAGAAAAAAAAAAAGGAGATAACAGTGCCGTACTGTTACCCGTGTCCAGCAAGCATGCTGGACACGGGTCCAACGCATAACGATTGATTGTAAATCATGCGGGCCAGAATACTAATAGAATTTTGGGCTTAACAATCGCAGGCCCAATAAGTGCAGAGGTGGAGACTGGAAGAGCGTATGCTTGCAGGTTCTCAAACTGGCCGTCCAACTTGACGTTGAGTTTGTTGAAGTTGCCCTCGAGGTTAGTTAGTGTTAGTTATTTAGTTAGTATGGTGTCATCATGTCTGGGTTCGGGTTATTAATGGGCGTCGTGGAACATTTTCAGGTGGCTTCTGACATGGTGATGAATGAGCTAATGAGTGTTCGGTCAAACACCAAGATAATTGTCTCCAGTTACGTCAACGGCGGCGGACGTCCGACGACCGAGAAACTCGGGGACCTGATTATAAACCTGCAGGCAACTGGCGCCGACATTATCAAACTTGTGATTGATGTTGCTTATATCACAGATGTGGCCCCGGTTTTCCAGATGCTTACCCATTGTCAGGTAGGTATATAGTTTTCTATGCTTTCCCATTTTCTCTGGTTGCAGGAATGGTTATATGGATTATGGAGTTATGGGAATTTGCAGGTTCCACTGATTGCTAGGGCGGTGGGAGATAGAGGTCTTATAAGCCAATTACTCGGCCCCAAATATGGCGCCTTCTTCGTCTGTGGATCCTTGAATGGCAAATCCACTCCCGGGCTGCCGCCTCTGAATAGCATCAAACAAGTGTATCAGCTTGAGTATGTGAATGCTGACACAAGAATCTTTGGAGTTGTCTCTAATCCTGTGGGACATAGCAAAGGCCCTCTCCTGCATAACCCTGCCTTTAGGCATACAGGGTATAATGGAATATATGTGCCATTGCTGGTTGATAACATCAAGGAATTCTTTAGGGTCTTTTCCTGCATAGACTTTGCTGGTTTCAGGTATACACTATTTTCTTGAATGAAAAAAAGAACAGAGCTTTGGGGTTTTCTTTATTCTGAGGTCCTTCTTTTGATGGAATCTTGCAGTGTTGGAATCCCACACAAGGAAGCAGCAGTAGATTGCTGTGATGAAGTTGATCCCCTTGCTAAGGTCTGGGAAACTTGTATTCCTTTATGAAAGAAATATATTTTTAGACTTTACTTAGCTAATGGTGACATGGTTTTTTTGAAGTCAGTCCATAGGTGCTGTGAATACAATTATCCGGAGGAATGGGAAACTCATTGGTTATAATACAGATTGTGAGGCTTGTATGACTGCAATTGAAGATGCACTCAAAGGTACTTTGGTTAATGTTTTAAACCATTACCAGTTCATACATTTTGCTTCAAACAATTCAGCATATATAGCTCGTATTTGTTGTGATAAACAGAGAGGCAAATGACAAATGGCCATGCATCACATGCTTCTCCCATGGCTGGGAAATTGTTTGTCTTGGTTGGAGCTGGTGGTGCTGGGCGAGCTATGGCTTTCGGAGCCAAAAGCCGAGGTGCAAGGGTTGTCATTTTTAATCGCAATTATGGTACTTCCTCTATCCTATTTTACTAGTCCCTCTCGGCTTCTTTAGTTAAACCTAACACATAAAATGGAACTAATGGAGTATATTCTTACGAGTTACAACTCATCCCTCCCATGGTTTATAACCTTTTGTTGTGAAGAGAGGGCAAAAGCTCTTGCCAAAGCAATATCTGGTGAAGCACTGCCATATGATCGCCTGAATGATTTCTGCCCAGAGAAAGGGATGATCTTAGCAAATGCTTCTGCCATAGGAATGCAGCCTAGGACAGATGAAACCCCTGTTTGCAAGGTTATAGTCTTCAACACAACTCTTGTTAGTGTACCTGTTATAATGAGATTTGAGAAACAAAATTTAACATCCTGAACCTCTTGGTTCAAATTTGCAGGAGGTCTTGAAATCGTACGATCTAGTATTTGATGCGGTTTACACACCCAGAAACACCCGTCTTCTGCAAGAGGCTGCAGAGGTTGGAGCTGCAGTGGTGAGTGGAGTCGAGATGTTCATCAGGCAGGCTCTTGGACAGTTCAAATTGTTCACTGATGGATTAGGTACCCTTTTGTCTCAACATTTTTCATGATTCTAACTAACAAACCAGCGCCTAACCTTTCGTTTACCCGATTTACAGCGCCTGAGGACTTCATGCGCAAGATTGTCTTGGAACAATTCTGATATACAACAGGAGAAAAGCATAGTCTTTGCAAGATCATCAGCTATAAGTCAGTATTTTTGTTTACTTTACTATTCAAAGCAGAGAAAATGGATAACAGTTGAGCAAGTCTGAGTGTTGTTCATCCACGGCATTGGTTCATAGTCAGATAGGAAGAAGAAGAAGAAGAAGAAGAAGAAGAAGAACAGTATGTGCTTGTATATAATTATTGTAATAATAAGAGAATGCTGTGTTTTGGGTGGTGATTTCTATGGAGAAATAAAATGAAATGTGCAAAATAGCATCAATTTACCAAGGTTTTGAAACGAACCAAAGAACAAAAACCAAAAAGTATAGAATTTTCTACATTTGAGTCTTGCATAACTAGATTATCAATGGAAAGATCAGAGAAAGAGACATGCTAACAGTGTCTCAGAGCGACCAGGTATACTCGGGAGGAATCTGAAAGAACCTGGGCTGGATCCAAATCCCTTTGAGCTGCTGTTGCGTCTCAGCACCTTCCATAGCATCAATATTTTCGTTATTGATAATGATTTCATGCCTGGACCCCGGCAAAGAAGCTGCACAGGTAACAATCGAAACATCGTCCCCAAGTTCCATCTTTTTCTTCAACTCACTCGCACTGAAATACTTATCCATATGAACAAACGGCAGAGAATCCGCCTCGGTCTCCTCGCTGCTGTCCACAATCCGATAGATCTTCCAGATCCCCGTCCCAGCAGAGAACGTCAACACCTTGTGTGTATCATCAATGAAGTAGAACACACCGTCATGACATGTAGCACATTTTATAGTCCGAAAATACCCACGAAAATGGGAATACTCGTGTTTAGTCCACTCGCTAGATTTCCTGTCCAGCACATTCATCTCAACCCTGTGTTCACTTTTCCTGCAGATGACAGCAACCGTGCAGTCTGGAGAAGTCGGAGGGGACGAAAACGCCCCAACGTGCCCCGAAAATTCCTTCTCGGCCCCCGCCTGCGGGAACGCGGGCAGATCAATCCTCGAACCCGAAAACGGGCAGAAGAAGAATATCACTCCCTGCTGGAATAACAACAACCATCCCTGATTCGAAGCAAGGCAAGTAGCTTCTCTCAACTCAGGAATGTTAATCATATACTTCTTCTTCTCTACTTGACTATAGAGAATACAATTCTCTGCACTCTCCCCATGGAGCAGAAAACATGGCTTTCTCCCCGGGGAAGACTCCACAGAAGCTGAAGCTGTCAGAGAAGCAAAATGCCAATCTTTACAGACGAAACGAAAGCGCAGAAGATCAAAACATCCTAAGCAATTTGCAATCTTTGATAGCAGTTCAGGAGGTAAATCTGACCATCTCCTCTCCAATTCTTTAGCATCATCAACCATAACCTTCCTCATACCATGCCTTACCCACAAAACACAAACAAACAAAAACCAATCATGCTCCTGTAAACATTCAACAACATAAAAACCAGACAACCATAAACCAAACAAAACTACTAATAACTACAAATTCAAGATCAAATTCGATTCAAAATACCCAGAAAACTAACACCAACAGGAAAAACAAAAAAAAACAAAAAGATTGAATTTTTTCAGGGAATGCAAACGATCGTGATCAACCCAGATATCCGGTAACGATTATACGAACAAAAACAACAACGATCGGGTCGATCAACACCAGTCGACCCAATTCTTGCAGAGCACGACAAATCAATTCAAGCAACCAAAAAAAAAAAAAAACAGAGAGGTATATCAAACGTAAGATTAGCAGAGATTGTTAACGAGGAAATCAACCTAGGGCATTTACTAGGAGAAGGAGGATTCATCTTAACGAAGAAGACAACCGTGCGCTAAACCCAAGCGGTGGATAGATAAGTAACTCCACGCAGCGATAAAGAGGGCACTTTTTATGCAAACGTCGAGAGAGTTTAGAGTCCACTTTTAGTTATACTCTTACTCCTCTGTTTCACGCCACTGGACTTTCTCCTACGTTGTACATTTATTTTTATTGCAGGTTAGGTTGTGTACTTGTGTTATTCAGTTATCGCCTATTGGATACAAATTTGTAATTTAATAATGAGTTAATTCCATAAAAGGTGCTTTGTCTTTGTAGTAATTTTAATCTCAGTTCCATACTATTGGGTTTGTCATTTAATATCCCAGTCTATTAATTTTTTGACACTTTTAGTCATTCTCATGATTTTTTCTATTTTTTGTAATGACAGTTTTGTCTTTTCATATTTTCTTTTGTTATTTTTTCAGTTTCAACCGATTTAACTAGTTTAGAACTTTAGGTAATCTCTGATTTTTAATAACATATCATATTACTGGGCAAAAAAAATCATATTAGTGGGCACGTACATTACACGTGCATGCTTAGTGTTGTTGGTACGCAAGTAGTAATGCACGTGCCTGCTTAACGTTGTTGGTAGAGCCGCCAAAACGGGTTTAGCCTGACCCGACCTGCAAAAAGGCGAGGCGGGTTTGATATTTTGAACCCGTATTTTGACGGACTTTTTAGCCCGCCCTGCCAATCCCGCGGGCTTTAGCGGGACAGACTTGGTGGGCCAACGGGGTCCCGCCATATGAAAAATTAAAAAATTATTAAAATAAATAAATGCTACAATTGTACATTTATAACATTAAACTAGTTTTTTACGCGCATTGCGCGATTGGGATAATGCCCAATGCTTTTTTGTTAAATATTATCCCAATGCTTTTTTGTTAAATAAGTACTTTAAAGTATATTAAGACAGGATTATATTGAAATTGTTCATGCATAGATAATTGAAGGTTGAATTTGCGTATTTAAATAGGTAATTCTTCTCCCAAAGGTTGAGTCCCCAACCCCAAGGGCCCCCCACACTCCGACCCGACAGAGCATTGTGGGAAGTTGTAAATCACGGTGACTCAATGGTTCAGCATCTGCCCACTTTGGACATAATTCTCGCACTGCCGCCGCCGAGGTTCAAACCTTGGTATCTTCTCCCAAATACTACCCACAAAACCATTGAGCTAAGCCCGTGCGAGTTAAATAGGTAATTCTAAGTTTACAAATGCAAGATAATATAGTCAAGATTAATTATAATTGTCAAAAAAATAATTGTATAGGTATAGTTGAAACCAAATACGGGACATAAGGGAGAACAAATAAAAATTAGGGCATAAAATATTAAATATATACAAATATTGTTTGAGGAGATTCCGACATTAGGATTTGTGGTTAAGTTCTATTAAGACTTTAATATTATAATTAGATTAATGGTGTAGTTATAATTCTATATTAGACTTTAATATTAGAATTAGACTAACGGTGAATTAACGGAAAAGTTAAATGGATAATCATATAATTAAGGATAAATTAGAAAATCTTAAAAGAAAAAAATTAAAACCTGAACAATATGAACCATTCATTTGATTTAATAATTTGGCGGTCAGTTTTTCTACCCAATGTTACTAATTAAATAAATTCGCTGGTCAAATCCGCTAGTATAATCCGCTAACGCTAACCACTAACTACTGATTGTCAAACAAGGACATTGCGAGGTAGTTCTCACTTCAATTTGTTGTGTGATTTGAATACTCTCTTTGTCACAAAATCTCTCAAGTAGTTAATATGGTTGGCTTTATTAATTATATTTTTTAATTTTTTCATGGTATTAATAAAATACTTTGTAAATAAATGTATAACATTATTTTGTATTATAACTTTGATATTTAATTAGAAAAATAGTGCAAAAAAAAATAATAGATAATGTAGTGAATATAATCAATTGATGAATTTGAATGTAAAAATTTTTACATTTGAGAAAAATAAAGACAATATGACTAATGAAAATATTTCTTTTAACTAATTTATTGATAATTAATAATTTTTTTTTCACTGAATAAAGACATTGTAAGGACAATGTAGCGAATGTAATCAATTAATAAATTTGAATATAAAGAATTTTTATATTGAAGAAAAAATAAAGACAATATAACTAATAAAATCATTTCTCTTATTTAATTTATTGATAATGAATAATTTTTTTTTTTTTGAATAAAGGCATTGTGGACACATAATTCTAAATTAAAGAAATGCATATATATTATTTTTTGTTGTAACTACTAAATTATTATTTATATAATTTAATAAGAGTAAAATAGAGTACTAATTATGGCAACTTTGATTGGGATGATGTTCGAACCTAAGACTTTTTTTTATTGAAATCAATGAGTAAGTTAACGGTGAACTAACGGCAATTCTTAAAATTTTAACGGAATTAGTAATGGTGTGTGAGTATTTTAGGAAATTTTAGTGTAAAATTTAAATCTGATCAATCTTTTAATCAATCTGAGCCATTCATTTGATTAAAATCTGTGACCGTCATTTTTTCTACCCATTATATGCCTAACTCTCTTGGACTCTTATTAGTATAGTAGATATTAGTATAGTAGATATAGTAGATATGTCTTCATTGTCTTGTTAACTTGATTCTATTACTAATATATATATACTAGTAATTCACCCACGCAATGCACGGACTCTATTCAAATTATTTTAGTATACACTTGTCACATTTTTTATATTAATTTGTATTTAAATAATTTAAAAAAAAAAAAAAATGGCGGGCCCCGCCAAGGCCCGCGAGCTTAAGGCGAGGCGGGCTGACAACTCTAGTTGTTGGTAGGCAAGCAGTAACGTACGTACTTGCTTAGCGTTATTGGCACGTGAGCGATACCAATTACCAGTTTTTTTTTTTCGTACCCACAAAAATTGTCTTCTGCAACAATTCATCTTTAATTCTTTCTCTTTCTTCCACAACACCCTAATTTCATCCTACCTTAATTTGAGGTAGAGAACTGTGAATTGAAATCGATCTTAGAGTTTAAATTCCTCTATTAATGCTCAAATTTTGATATTAATTTGAAAAGGACAAAAATACCCTTTATAATTTTATATTTCAGCATGTCTTAAACGAATTAGTGATCGACGTGATAAATTTTGATATTAAAATAATAGTCGTGGATGAAAATTGGTAATAAAATAATATTCGTGTATGAAAATTGGTAGGAATTTAACATGTAAATCAAAGTTGTTATTTTGCTAATACTGGTGAGACTAAAATTGGTATTTGCGGGTTTTTGTTGTTAATTAAATTTTCTATAAATATTGAAGCTCGTAGAATCGCGAAATTCCCATTTCCCTCCAAAAAATGAGCAAATATGGAGATAATTATGGCTCCTCCACTTCCCTCAAAATTCTAAAATCCACAGTGTATGTATAATGTATGCATATGCATTCACGCACTGTTCAAAAGCCCTCGACGGAGGCCGAGTTTGATCCTGTCACCTCTGCGCTTTTCCTATTGAATCATCATTTTATCCAGGTGAGTTTCCCCCTACGTGTATCTGAGTTGATTTCAACTTACTATTTTGATGCATAGTCGACTGATCGAAGCACCATTTGCTCCGTATCGGGCTTTGCTGTTGTAATCGTCGATTCTCGCTGAATGTATCGCGAAATTTTGTTATAATGATTCGCGGCGAGCATTGGGTAGTCAGTATTTGAATGTATGCGTATTTGCATTACCCTATGAACGTTTCCGTGCTGCTTTTGATGTTTCAGAACTTTTCCTGTTCTTAGGTTATCGATTACGAGCGAGAAGAAAGATTTGATGGAGGTGGAGGAGTTGTTTACGGTTCCTGCTGCTGCTGATGATGATGATGATGATATTGTGGTGCCTGAGAGTCCCGTTTCAGAAGTTGAGGAGGTGAATTTTGGGACTGATTCTGAGCCACATTGCATTAAGAACACAAGCAGTGAAGTTGCAGATGAGTGTGTGGATATTGTGCCGGATTCTGATGATGAAGGAATCCATGGAACTGAAAAAGTTGGAATTCTGGATGAGATGTGGCCTGGCAAAGGTGGAAGGTGTGTAGGCAAGAGAAGATATGCTCCTGGCAAGCATTCATATGAAGGTGAGGATATAGTTTAATGGACACCACTCTCCTTTTAACAGCTTTCTATAATTTACTCAGTAGACAAGCAGATATTGATTTGATCTTGACTCAATTACCTATCTGTTTATCAGGATATCTAAGGAGGCTGAGACATCCTTTACGGCGTCGGAACATTGGGGAAGATACTTCAACCAGAGATTCACTTACTGAGAAAAATGTTTCATCACATAAGTGCGAGGAACTTAACAAGTTTAACTGCATTGAATCTCAAGAACCTGGACACTCTTCAGAAGCTGATGCTCTGAACTTTGTGGATCTTTATCTATCAAGTGGTGGTGATGCAAATGCATTTCATCATGTTGAAACTGGAGTGCTTGATAGGTCAACATCATCTTGCATTTTGCACCCAAATGGACCTCAAAATTTGGCAAGGATAAAGAGCCGCACAAGCATAGCTAAGACGCTAGAAGTCTTTGACTGGTCTGAAAATTTAAGTGATGAAGAAGAAAATTGTTTTGTGGTGAACAGAAGGAAATTGAAAATGGAGTGTGAAGGCAATGAACCGGGGAATATCAGCAAGCATCGGAGTGTTGAAAGCCTAGACATTAAGAAGGAGAAAGCATTGGGTAACTTTTGCCCATTGAACACTGTGAAAGGAAGGTTAAATTCAAATAAAATGGAGCCAAAGTTTCAGGTGGAGGATGAGATTGGCAAGGGTGAATCCAGTTTTGAAAAAGCTATGGATACTAATTTTGTGAATGAGTTGGATAAAGAGGTTATTTTAAATTCACCTCAGAAACTTTTGGAAGATGAACAAAGTAAATTGGATGCAGTATGTACATATGATGTTGGCTTTGACACCCAGGTTGCTGCTGAGGCCATGGAAGCCTTGTTTTATGCTGCTCCTCTCAATTTGGATCCTTTTTGTAAACATCAGAGTCCACAAAAAACACTCCAATTCTCTGGTGATCCCTCAAACAGTGTATCATTAGTAGATCATTGTAATTGGGTTTCTTCTAATTCTGAAGGCACTGGACATCAATTGATGCAGTCTGCCAGAAAGTTGTGTGATAGTATCCCTGGTAACTTTGAAACACCACAGGAAGACAAAAGAGTGTTGGAATCCGAACTACTACGAAGGGAAATATGCATGCCATTTTCTGGAAAGCTTCCCACAAAGAAAAGAACAGGCAGAAGATCTTTGAGAAATACCATCCAGCATAAGAGTCCTCAAAAAACACTCCAATTCTCCGGTGATCCCTCAAACAGTGTATCAGTAGATCATTGTAATGGGGCTTCTACTAATTCTGAAGGTACTGGACAACAATTGATGCAGTCTGCCAAAAAGTTGTATGGTAATATCCCTGGTAACTTTGAAACACCACAGGAAGATGAAAGAGTGTTGGAGTCTGAACTACTACCCAGGGAAATAGGCATGCCATTTTCTGGAAAGCTTCCTACAAAGAAAAGAACAGTCAGAAGATATTTAAGAAACACCATCCAACATAAAGAATTATATAATGAGAAATCCTTCTCAAGACAGTTAGATGTTGATTTTAATTCATTCAAAGTTTCAAACTGTGGCTTGGATGAGCAAAGGGGGGAAATTAGGAAAATTTCCTCAGGTACTCATCGAAATAGGAAGCAGTCATCCTCAAGTTCTTTGAAATGGGTTACTGATCAAAGTTTCAAAAAGTGCCCAGCGGTTATGAAGTTCAATTTCCAAAAGAAAAGAAGAAAGAAAGATGAAGTTATGAAGTCAGGTGATTCTAAGAAAGCTTCAGATAGTTATATGAATAGACATCAAACTACTGGTGTAGATGAAGCAAACATTGGCCACAAATTGAAATTAGAAGATTGGAACCATCCCAGAGGAAAAAGGACACGTACAGCTGTGCCACACAATTCAGTTGGAAGGAATAATCAGTATGCTTCATGTGCCAAAGATAATGCTATCAAGTGTCCTATTGGTAATAATGCTTTGGTGGAGATAACAGGACCACAACAATCTGGCGGAAAATGTCAGTATTCATCTAAAAAGAAACATTCAATAAACTTGTTGATGCAATATTCAGGTGGGTCTGGTTCAATGAGTGTTTCAAATTGTAAATCTGCCATCACTAGTGACAAAGGGATCTCTAGTGGTCATGATGGGAATACCTCTAGAAAGCTTCAACCTGCAGATGATTTGGTTTCAATAGTATCTGATGTTATGTCAACAGACAGAACATTAAATGTAGTACCAAGTAGGAATTGTGTTGAACTATACAGGTTTAAGGACAGCAAGAAAGGAAGACAACGAGGCAAGAGCTTGTCTAGATCATCCCTTACAAAAGAACTTGTTAGATTAGGGTATACAGAGATGCTACCTGATTTCATGCCCAAAGATTCAAGGAGGGGAAAGGGTCATGCAAATGTAAGAGTCTTGCTCAGCCAGAATTTGGATGAGAACATAATTAGACGGCAGAAAAAGGTGCTCTTTCTGCTGTTAGTTAGGTAGTACCTTTGCATTCAAGTATTCTAGTTATCTGCAAGAGGTCAATTGTTTACTTACTGCTTTACCTTGCAGATTGTGGCACGACTAGGCTTTTCCATTGCATCATGTTGTTCTGATGCTTCGCACTTTGTAGCGGATAAATTTCTGAGAACAAAGAATATGCTGGAAGCAATAGCTATTGGCATACCTGTGGTTACACATTTATGGCTTGAGAGTTGTGGACAAGCAAGCTCTTTTATTGATGAGAAATTGTTCATCTTGAGAGATGATAAAAAGGAAAAAGAAATTGGCTTTAGCTTGCCTGTTTCACTTGCTCTTTCTCGCCAGCGTCCCCTTCTGAGAGTATGTATATATGTACAAACTACTTGCATTTAGACCATAGAGTGTTTTGTGGTTTCTGAACTTTTACTAACTGCAGGATCACAGAGTGTTTATTACTCCAAATGTTAAACCCAGTAAGGACATGATCCGAAGCTTGGTCAGTGCAGTTCAAGGCCAGGTACACAACTAGCCTAGGATGTTGATATCATCCTTTGGTGATGACACTTCATAATTTAGTTTAGGAGTTTTGTAATGAGGCTGTAGCTACCACATATGAGAGAAAGAGTCTCTTAGTATAATGTCAAAACTGTAATGGTATCTTTCTTGTATGCTGTTTTGATGAAATGTTTGCCAGGTAGTTGCTGAAACTGAGGATATAACTACTCAAGGAGAGATAATAGTTGTTTCCTCTGAAGAAGATTACACAACTTGTGAACCATTGCTGAAGAAAGGTATTTTATTAATAATTCATTTCTCAATTTTGCGGTTTTCTAAAGCTACATCACATGATTTTCTTCACTCCTTTCAAAGAGGACAAACAATACATCATTATGTAGAGACAATTATGTGGGTTCTTTCACTCACCAGGAACTGCAGTTTACAGTTCAGAGCTTTTGCTTAATGGGATTGTCACTCAGAGACTTGAATACGACAGGTTAGCAAAAAAAAGACAGCAATTTCATAATTTGCATTTGTGAATGCATAGTTTTTTGTTTGTTTTTGGCCTGCACGTGCCTGGAATGACAAGTTTGGTCATTTTCAGTTTTGGTTTTATCTTGTCTTATTCTTTTTCCTCAAAAGGGTATTAATCTACTAAACTTTTTCCTGGTCCAGACATCAGCTGTTCAAAGATTTCATGATTAAAGACTGGCCCATCTCCCATCCAAACTAACCCAGAAATCTTTCATGTATCTGCAAAGCATTGATGCAATTCCCGGCCCTGGTAATCTTGTTTTCGTTTTACTGTTTTTCCGGTAGAACAAACACGTAAATATGCCTATGTTCAGATCATCCATGATTCCGCAATAGAACCTGCAATGTTTTTTTTTGTTCTTTAACTGTGATTGGAAAAGAAAACTTCACCTCCACTCTGCATTCATTTCCTTTCTGAACCATGCAGCAAGTAACCTCTAGTGTATACAATTTCGTAGAGCCAGACAAGGTTGTATCATGCTATTATTGCCATTCTTAGAAACAATGATAAGTAGCATAGTAACAATGTCTTCTTCTTGTAAAGAATATGTGTAGTGTTCATATAGTCCATAATAGTAGTAGGAATGTAGCATGTACGAGATGGTCCACGAAAATTTGAAGTATCTAGTGTTCAGAAGACAAGACAAGACAAGATGCCCATGTAGTATCCTGTTAAAAATAATAATTGTACCATAAGACTATAGTCTTTGGAATTTGGTCTGTCAAATTTGAAGGATATGTAAATGCTTTCAAGGCCAAAATGGACAAATGGTAGGTAAGGGTGATGAAGAATGCCCAACAGGCAACAGCAAGGACGCCAGGCTGTCTTCCCACATTAACACAGTACCATTTCATTACCTATAAATATTGGGATTTTTCACGGCTTCTGTCTTAAAAATTGTTGGAGGTAAGTCGGGAGATGTGTCTTAATTGGTATATATGTTTTCAAATGTTTGTACACTAATATTCACAACAAAGACAAATCTATGCCTTTAGTTTTTGGTTCTTGATAGGATTTGAATCTGCATCTTACGATTGCTAGTAAAACAAAATTTATGAACTTATCTTTAGTTGATCTATCCGGTAAATGTTGTACTATAAAATTTTCATTGGCAGCCTTCATACTCTAACTTGGGTGCATTTTCAACGGGAGAGAAAACTCCTTTCCGTGTACAGAAATATAATGTGAATCTTGATAGTAGGTCACTAATTAGTTTTTTGATTTTGTTGTACCAAAATAGAGTTTTTTGCACTTTTAGTCCCACGACTATAGTGGCACTGGCAGAATTGATCCACGATTTTTGAACCTTGCAATTTTAGTCCACGACTATTGATTTTTTTTGCAAAAATGGTCCTTCCGGCCACTTTTCCGTCAAAATTTTACCGGAAAAAAAAATTCTCTATTTTTAGTCGGGTTAAAATTAACATTTTACTTATCTCAAAAAATTAAAAGAAAAAAATTGATATTTGACTACATACAATATTACTGGGCTACATACTACTGCCTCAGGCAACGGAGTACATGTACCACTCCAATGCTGCTGCCGGATAACCCAACTAGCCTGGGGAACGCCACGGCCGCTCCGCCGCTTACTGACAGCCCTGCCTGCTCCAAGAACTCCGCCGCCTGGGGCAGTAGTATGTAGTCAAATATCAATTTTTTTCTTTTAATTTTTTGAGATAAGTAAAATGTCAATTTTAACTCGGCTAAAAATGGAGCATTTTTTTTTTTTCCGGTGAAATTTTGACGGAAAAGTGGCCGGAAGGACCATTTTTGCAAAAAAATCAATAGTCGTGGACTAAAATTGCAAGGTTCAAAAGTTGTGGATCAATTTTGCCAGTGTCACTATAGTCGTGGGATTAAAAGTGCAAAAAACTCTACCAAAATATAATGTTGATATTAATTGTTACATTTAGGGACCTAATTGATTTTTTAAGTAATGTTGGATTACTTATTTCAGTTATTTGATCATTTTTTTCATTATTTTATTCATAATTTATTCAAACTGCATTTTGAAAGACGGTAAGAGTGATTCACCCTTTTCAACCACTCTTTCAAATGCATTCAGAATAAGGTGATTGGAATTTTTGTCAACGTAGGCACATTCATTAACCGCTTAGCTGCGACTTGCGAGCCCACTTGCTGATATAAAGGAACAAAAATAATAAAACGATAAGGTTAAAATAGGAACACGAATACGTGGCAGGTGGGGCCCGATGGGAGGGCGCCTACAAATAATGGGTAATTACGTCAATTTGATTAACGATGGACACTCGTGTCCTCCGCTTCGTGGTTTAATTTTGAGAAAATGATGATTTTGTTATGAAACAAAAGGAAATGTGAATGTCCAAATTGAGTTTTGAACCCTTGACCTTGTGTATAAAAGATGAAGTCTTCTCCACCAAGCTACTTCGACCATAAGTAATACTTACTGCTAAGTTACATTAAATGGTGGTTCATAATTCTCCAAAAAACTGATTGCAAGTTCCAAGAAGCAGCAACGGGGAATGGAGCTCAGGACCTCAAGCACGACACAGCAATGCTACATCTTCAGCTACCAACTAGGCTAGCTTTGCTACCTGTCCACCTTATGCGAATTTAATATTTATTACCTCCTAAATCTCAACACTATAAATACCCCTTCCCTCCATGATCTTGTATATGCAGTATATATGAAAAGCTAAATCATATTCTCTCAACTCCCCATCCGTACTGCTGTTCCCCTTCTACTTCATAATATTAGTATTGTTATTATTATTATTATTATTCACAACACGTTATCAGCACGAAGCCTCGGGTGCAACTATTATACAGGTAATCTTTCTTTATATAATTATAATATTTTATTCAATATTATCAATATGTCAAACCTTACAAATCTTGAATTTGTGGGACTTGATATATCCGGGAAAAATTACCTATCATGGGTACTGGATGCTGAGATGCATCTAAATGCAAAAGGTCTTGGTGAAACTATAAAAGAAAATAGTGATGCGTCGATGCAAGATCGAGCAAAGGCAATGATTTTCATTCGCCATCACCTAGACCGAGGGTTAAAAGATGAATATCTTACTGTGAAAGAACCCTTTGAACTCTGGAAAATGTTGAAAGAAAGATATGATCACCAGAGGACAGTAATTCTCCCGAAAGCCCGTTATGACTGGCTTCACTTGCGATTGCAAGATTTCAAAACTGTGAGCGAATATAACTCTGTTATGTTCAAAATTAGCTCTCAATTATTATTATGTGGAGAAAAAATTACTGATGAGGATATGCTTGAAAAAACCTTCTTTACTTTTCATGCATCCAATATTGTGCTTCAACAGCAATATAGAGAGAAGGGTTTTACCAAATATTCTCAGTTGATTTCATGCCTTCTTGTGGCTGAGCAAAATAATGAGCTCCTGATGAAAAACCACGAGGCACGACCTACTGGTTCAATCCCATTCTCTGAGGCGAATGGTGTGTCATATCACAATGAAAATACAAGAGGTCGTGGTCGTGGTCGTGGCCGTGGCCGTGGCCATGGACGAAACCGTGGTTATAATCCCGGTCGTGGACAAAATCGTCATGGTGGTTATAATTTCAAAAATAAAGGTTACCACCGAAAAGGGGAAAATAGTGGTGCAAAACATGACAAGGAAAAACGTGAAAATCATCCCAAAAATATTGAAAGTATATGTTATCGTTGTGGCATGACTGGCCATTGGGAATGCACTTGTCGTACTGCTAAGCACCTTGTGGATCTCTATCAAGCATCCCTGAAAGAGAAAGGAAAGAATATAGAGTCCAACAATGTTCTTATGAATGACGATTTTGATATCACACATCTGGATGTGGAAGATTACCTCGGGCCAATAGATAAGAAAGATTGATGTTATATTTACTTTTGAGCTCATTAGATATATATGTTATATTTGAAACAAAATGGTTGTTTTGTCTCTAAACTTACTAGATACATATGATGTATTTTGTCTAAGCTTATATTAGATATATATGATGCATTTTGTTTACTACTATGTAATGTTTCTAAATATATTGTCTTTGCTTTATTGAAGAAACAAAAATGGGCACATCATCACTTGTGATTAAATCCAAGGCAAATGAAGAAGACATATGTATTGTGGATAGTGCAACCACACATACAATTCTTAAAAGTGCAAAATATTTCTGCCTTTTGAAAAAGAATGAGGCATTTGTCACTACAATATGTGGTAGTGCAAAAATGATTGAAGGTTCTGGAAGAGCCAATATATTATTGCCTGGAGGAACAAAAGTTATAATAAATGATGCATTGTTCTCTCCAAAGTCTCACAGAAATTTATTGAGTTTTAAAGATATTCGGAATAACGGATATCATGTTGAGACTATAGAAGAAAGGAATCAAGAATTCCTTCAAGTTACAAAGGCAATGTCTAGAAAGAAATATGTATTGGAAAAATTTCATGCTCTTCCATCTGGTTTATACTGCACAAAGATAAGTACTATTGAAGCCAATCTTATTGTAAACAAAAAGTTTACTGATCTAAATGACTTTAAGATTTGGCACGACCGATTGGGTCATCCTGGATATGTGATGATGAGAAAAATTATTGAAAATACAAATGGCCATGCCTTGAAAAAACATAAAATATTTCAAGGAAATGAATTTTTCTGTTTTGCATGTTCTCAAGGGAAATTGATTATAAGGCCATCACCAACCAAAGTTGGTATTGAATCACCTGCATTTCTAGAGCGAATTCAAGGTGATATATGTGGGCCTATACATCCACCATGTGGACCTTTCAAATACTTTATGGTCCTAATTGATGCCTCAACTAGATGGTCACATGTATGCTTATTATCATCTCGCAATATGGCATTTGCGAGATTACTTGCTCAGATAATAAGATTACGAGCACATTTTCCTGACTATCCAATTAAAGCAATCCGAATGGATAATGCTGGAGAGTTTACATCCCAAGCTTTTGATAATTATTGTAAATCACTTGGGATTGATATTGAACATTCAGTAGCGCATGTTCATACGCAAAATGGTCTTGCAGAATCACTTATTAAAAAGCTACAGTTAATAGCTAGACCATTACTTATGAAAAGTAGACTCCCTTCTACTGTATGGGGACATGCTATTTTGCATGCAGCGGCACTAATTCGTATTAGGCCGACAAGTTATCATAAGTACTCTCCATTGCAATTAGCATTTGGTCATGAACCTAATATTTCCCATCTGAGAACATTTGGATGTGCAGTCTATGTTCCCATTGCTCCACCCCAACGCACTAAAATGGGTCCACAAAGGAGATTGGGAATATATGTTGGATATGAATCTCCTTCTATAATTAAATATCTTGAGCCATTAACGGGAGATCTATTTACTGCACGTTTTGCAGATTGTCACTTTAATGAAGCATCTTTTCCCACACTAAGGGAAGGAAATGATGTTGTAGAAAGGACAATAACATGGAATGCCCCAACATTGCTTCATCTAGATCCTAGAACTCAACAATGTGAACAAGAAGTTCAAAAGATAATCCATTTGCGAGAGTTGGCAAATAGACTGCCAGATGCATTTGTTGATCCAAAACGGGTAACAAAATCTTATATCCCAGCAGCTAATGTCCCAGCTAGTGTTGATATCCCAAAAGGTCAAACTGGGAATGAGTCCCAAGTACGCTTGAAGCGTGGAAGACCTATTGGTTCAAAGGA